ATCCTTCTACCCCAACCTAGACGCTCCCGTCCAAGGGGACAGTTTCCAGTTTCCCGGTCCAGAGGAGCTATCGGGTACTAAATCGAAGGGAGAATTTTTTGTGGGATATCATAGATTTAAAGTAAATTCGATCAAACATCTTGAAGGGATTCCTTATCCAAGCTCTGATGCGTTAAATCAAAGGGACGATTTCCAGATTCCCCATGATTCTTCAAATAATATCCAGTGCGAAATCCGAGAGGGAAGTTTCCAAACCTCTCTAAGCAAAAGGGGTACGTTTCCTATTCCCCAAAGTTCTTCGAACCAGATAAGTAAAGAATTCGAGGCAATGTCCCAAGCCTCATGTAAAGATTCAAGGTCAAGAAATCCAAATAATGATTCACAGAATTATTGTAAAAAGTTAATTGGAAATTCAGAGGAAAGTTTCCAACCTCCTCATCCTGATTTGAGAAGTTCTAACCAAGGGGTCGATTTCCAGTTACCCCAGTTATTTATTCTATAAAGAAAACGCGAATAAAAAACAAGGAGAAAATTTGAAAACCCCTATTGAATCAATAAAACAGAAATTGACAGAAAAAAGTAGAAACATCGAAAGGTCCCCTGAATTCTTAAAGGAAGTTAATAAATTAGACCATCTAGAACAGAACTTTACATATGCTATAGAAAAGATTACAGAAAAGGAAAACAAGAATCGAAAAGCAATATGTAAGTCCTCGTACGAGAATAATGAGACACATCAAATAAAAAGGGACAAGGAGAATGAAATTCGCGATGTCAAAGATAATATAAATCTTGCCGAAAGGATAAATGATGCACCAGTTGTTGATCTCCAAATTTCACCTAACTGTAATAATTTTTTACAGCCCAACAGTCCGGAGAATATAAAAAATACTAAACCTAATCAGTATGTCAAGTTGCATATCGCTCCGTTTTCAGATTCATCATTCACCAGTTTCCCTAGACAAAACTGTGACATAACCTTTGACTTAAACAGGGAAACGAGACTACATCACCCCGGGAAAACTCTTATTATCGAACTTGATAAAAACACCAAGAATCCAGCTTTAAACGCTAACGTTCCCAAGATAAATCCAATCGACCTTTTTAACGATAACCGATTAGGCGAACTATTGACTCTGATTAAATTGGACTACTTAAATCCAGAAGAAACTGATAATGTAACAATATTGATTAAAAATCATCAAGACTGCTTCCAATTGCCAGGAGAACAACTTACCTATACGCACGTACTGCAACATCAAATACCGACTACAGACGATTATCCGATTAACACAAAGCAGTATAGATTTCCTCAAATTCATAAGGTTGAAATAAATAAACAGGTTCAGGAATTACTAAATAGTGGTATTATACGACATTTACAATCGCCCTATAATACTCCTATTTGGATTGTGCCTAAAAAAGAGGATTCCCAAGGCAACAAACGATGGCGTATGGTTTTGGATTTTCGAGCATTGAATAATAAGACTATCGGAGATGCTTATCCGTTACCCAATATAATTGACATCCTCGATCAACTCGGTGGAGCGCGATACTTTTCTGTTTTTGATTTGGCATCCGGGTTTCATCAAATCAAGATGGATCCGCACGATCGGCATAAAACCGCTTTTACCACTCCTTTCGGACATTACGAGTTTAACCGCATGCCTTTCGGATTAAAAAATGCTCCCGCGACCTTTCAAAGGTTAATGGATATAGTTTTATCAGGGATACAAGGACAGGAAGCTTTTGTTTACTTAGACGATATCGTCGTATATGCATCCTTCTTGGAAGATCATAAATATAAATTCGAAAAATTAATAAAAAAACTCAAGGAAGCCAATCTAAAATTACAGCCGGATAAATGCAAATTCTTACAAAAGGAAGTCAGTTACTTGGGACACGTAATTAGCAGTAAGGGCGTTAAGCCTGACCCGAGAAAACTCGAAGCGGTACGCGAATTTCCAACACCAAAAACGTCGAAAAACGTCAAGCAATTTCTGGGACTAGCTGGATACTATAGAAGATTTATTCCGGAATTTTCAAAATTAGCACGACCTTTGACACAGTTATTGAAACTCGAAACCCCATTCCAATGGGGATACGCACAGCAAGAGTCGTTTAATATTCTTAAAAATGAGCTTTGTAAAGAACCGGTATTGCAGTACCCAGATTTTTCGAGACCATTTATATTAACTACCGACGCTTCAGGTTACGCAATAGGCGGAATATTATCTCAAGGAATCATTAACAAAGATCAGCCAATAGCATACGCATCTCGTACACTGAGCGATAACGAACTAAAGTACGATACCTACGAAAAGGAAGCACTAGCAATTATATATTGCGTCAAACATTTCAGACCATATCTATACGGAAGAAAGTTCACACTTGTAACAGATCACAAACCCTTAATGTGGTTCAAAAACGCTCAGGATGCGAACATGCGAATACATCGCTGGAGACTAAAATTAGCAGAATTCGAATAAGAAGTAGTCTATAAGTCCGGTAGAACAAATGTAAACGCAGACGCCTTATCACGAAATCCGGTAGACTTATCATCAGAAGTTTGTAAAATAATTAATCCTAAAATTAAATTGAATCCAACCGATCCAAAAGATGTAGAGATTATACGACAATTACTCGAGAAAGAAGATACTGAAGAATCAGAAGACGAAGACATTCCTCATACATACGTACATGATGATCACCCACTGTCCGAAATTCCTCCCTCAGAAATTACATCATTTAATCCGGAAGAATTAGCAGATCCTTCAACAGGTCAAACAATGGAAGTGCTTGCCCACGTGCCTGAAACCACCGACCCAGAGGACAAAAGGCAGGTAGACAAAATCGAGACTCAACGGCCTATGTTGACCCGCAGTAGAGCTAAACAAAAAATGCAGACAATCACGCCTGACAAAGACATAAACTTAAAGAGACACAACATACCACCGAGACCGCTACCCATGGATACCGACGAGGAAAGTGAAGACGAATTGCCTACTATAATCACAAGAAAACCACGCATAATCGATATTCAAACTAGAGCAAACAACCAGGGAATTCAGGGATCTGCACTTTTTACGCAAGGATAACCTGTTATATTTTACCGACATTTTGGGAAATCCTTTAGACTCTGGTGCCCTTAAATTATTTGAACGACAGGAAATACCTAAGTTAACAGGATTGTCCCTGGGAATTGCAAAACTGATTAAAAGATACCAAAGATATCATATTATATTACCCATTAGCGAAGATCAGCAAGAAGGACCTACCAGGATTTTGAATAATATATACCAAGGAATCACCAATTTGCGAAAAATAGCAGAGAATCTGAATCTCTCAAGCATAAGTGTCGCTAAAAGCGAACACATACTAAACGTTTCTTGGAACGATATTAAAACCAAATTTCAGACAGGATTTTTTGGCTCAGATGTGCGGATAATCTTCTGCAATGGACTAATCAAGTACCCACCTAGGGATATACGATTCGCAATCCTCCAAGAAATGCACAGTACACCTGTAGTAGGACATAGAGGAGTTACAAAAACTTACAATAGGATACGTCAAAACTACTACTGGGAACATCTGAAGGAAGATGTTCGGCAATATATTCGACAGTGTCTACAATGTCAACTGAAGAAATTAGTTCGAGTAAAAACCAAGCAACCAATGACAATAACCGACACTCCAGGATGGACGTTCGATAAAATCGCCATGGATATAGTTGGACCACTACCACGAACTAAGGTAGGAAATGAATACATTCTTACTATGCAGGACCAACTTAGCAAATTCAGCCTAGCTGTACCGTTGCCGGACCAAACTGCTGCAACAATAGCCGACAAATTTGTAAAAAGATTTATTGCCATTTTTGGACCACCTAGAGCTGTACTCACCAATCAAGGACGAAATTTCATTAGCGATCTGATGAAAAAATGAGATATTACAAAATACGGAAATTTAGGACCACTGCATTTCATCCTCAATCAAATGGGTCCTTAGAAAGATCTCATCACGCACTAGGAGAGTATCTAAAGCAATATGTTAAC